GGACCCAGAGAGCATCTGGGTCCCTAGAAGAAGCATGGGATCAGAATCCACAGCGTCAGTGACTTCAGGGTTCAGTGAGTGCAATTCCTCTGAGAAAGTAACTTAATGTCTCTCAACCTGAAAATGCCAGTAATAATGTTGCCTCCCTCACAGAGTTGTTGGGAGGATCATGTGAAATTTAGTGTACAAAAAGAATCCCATTTTTCAGGTGTTTTGCATTTTGTAAAACCCTTGCCTCACAATAACCCTGTGCAGTGGGTAGTATCAGGTATAATTATCCTTAATCTACAGGTGGGTAAACAGGCTCAGGCACATGACTGTTCACAGTCTCATGGTCCTTAAGTGTCAGAGCTAAGATTTGAACCCAGGACTTCTGATTCTAAGCCCAGTGAAGGTTTTTGTAGTAAACTATATACTGCCTCTGACTTCAAACCCTCCCTTTAGCTCACTGTCACTTTAGACACTTCTGAATGACTTCTCTGTTGTCTTTGGTGAGGAAGACCGTGTTGGTGAGATGGAGGAATTTTTTGAAATTTGAGATTAAGTACATTTCTCTTCCCATCTCCAAAAAAAAAAAAAACAACTCCAAAAAGATACCATGCTAGTCTGTTCAAAAATCCTTGAGTGATCTGGACTGTCCAGTTTACTTGATGCTCTTTCTACCCTCCCTATCCCAAACTGAACACATCCTTTCTGGCTCAGCCCCTCTCCAAGCAGACAGCTTTCCTGGAAGACACTCCCATTTCCTGGGTTCTTACAAAATCCTGGGCATAGTCCCACTAGGAATTGCTGGACCACTATAAGCACCAAACCCTAGAGGATGATAGAGATAAGGGACTAAGAACCCACTTATAGAAAGGATTTAGTTGTCCTGTGTCTTTGTCCAAACCCCTGCCCTGCTCTGTCTTGATTTTCCTGGGCCTAGTACCCAACGGTCCCTTTTAGATCAGCTTTCTGCTATCAAGCTTCCTCTTTTAAAAAATGATCTTCTTGGGGCAGCTAGATGGCGCAGTGGATAGAGCACCGGCCCTGAAGTCAGGAGGACCTGAGTTCAAATGCGGCCTCAGACCAAACACTTGACACTGACTACCTATGTGACCCTGGGCAAGTCACTTAACCCCAATTGCCTAAAAAAAAAAAAAAGATCTTCTTTCACCCCCAGTTGAATCCTCCCTTGCCACCAAAAGACTCCTAAGCAAAATCCACACCACAGAGTGGTCTGGACTAGTGGCATATTTGCTATTCCACTTATAAGACCTTACCCATACCATCATCTGTTCTCTGTGGAACCAGGATTGGTCATTGCAGTTAATTCAAGTTTTAATGTTTTGATGATGTTTCATTGACATTGTCATTTTGTGGGTCTTTGTTCTTTTTTTTTTCTCTGCATCATTTTAATGCAAGTCTTCCTGTGTTTCTCTGAATTCTTCATTTGTTGTTTCTTACAGCACAGTAGTATTGCATTACATTTAAATGGCAAAATTTGTTCCATGGACACCCACTTTGTTTCCATTTTTTTTTCTTGATGCCTCTTTTCCTTGAGTTGTTTCGAATTTTCTGTCTCTAATTAAGTGTGAAAATCTCTCCATTAGGACAGATCCACGGCATCATTGCTCCTATAAGAGGAGCCATGGGGCTGGGAACTGAAGGAGATAAAATTCAGTCAGAGTTCTCAGATGAAGCCCAGAGACTGGGGAGTGGGCAAAGGTCAGGTTGATTTATGGGACCCTGAGTTGGGAGTACTTTGGGAGGAGAAAGGTAGTAAGAGGAGAGAAAGGGAAAGGAGTTAGGAAAGAAGCTGGTTTAAGGGTATGAAACTCAGCATTGGAAGGACTTCCAGGCTCCTAGCCAGAGTTCTCTCTCTAGCATCCCTGATGCAGGGCCACCTAGCTTCACCTAAAGACCTCCAGGGCTGGGGCACCCATTACTACTTTTGAACAGTCAATGAACTATGCCAGGAAGCACATTTTCAGGAATGTGTGTGTGTGTGTGTGTGTGTGTGTGTGTGTGTGTGTGTGTGTGTGTGTGTGTAAGCAATGGGAAATAGATAGTAAGGTAGTTCTTATCATTGACTCTGGGCTAGAGTCATTTGTATAGGATTTAGCAACTTCTCTACTAAATCAGTTACTTAATAGGCCTTTATTAAGTGCCTCCTATATGACCACTCACTGGGGACAAAAAGACAGAAATTAAATATCCCTGCTATTAAGGGAGGAGGAGACAACATATATGTGTAAGACTATTCAAAATAAACACAGGGTAATTGGGGGAGAGGTCTTTGTGGAAAGGCTTTATGTCATGAAGACTGGAAAGGTAGGCTGGGGCAGGGTTTTTAAAGGGCTTTAAAAGCCGAACAGGAATTTCTATTTGATCCTAAAAGCAACCATTGAGAACCATTGTTGCTTATTTAGCCGAGGAGTAGCAAAGTCAGATCTGAGCTGTGTAAGAAGTGGTTTAGAGTGAGTTAGACCCGAGGCAGGTAAATCAATTAGGAAGCTGATGCAGTGGTCCAGGTGAGAGGTGATGAGGGTCTGAACTGGAGTTGTGGGGCATGTAAGTGGCTGAGGGGAGGGGTATATGAGAAAGATGATGTGGGGGTAGAAACAACAGCCATTGATTTGATAGGCAGGATAAAGGAGATAAGGCATCTGTAACACCTCGGTTTTAATCCTTAATGACTAGAAGGATGGTGATCCCTTCAACAGAAATTGCAAAGTTCAGAAGACAGTGAGTTTTAGGGGAATGGTATTGAGTTCTGTTTTGGAAAAGTTGAGTTTGAGTGGCAGAAGGATGATGTCCGTGAGGTACTGACTCTAGCCCTTAATGAAAGGGGCCAAGATGGCCCTAGCTTGGAAAAGGAAGAGCAGGGCCAGTAGTTTGGTTGGAGTGCCCATATACTGGGCATACTCCTGAGGCAAGATCGAGCGCATATGGCAAATGCTAGGTTAACAGAAGTGGAACTTTTTAGTCTGGAATGGTATTGGCCATTAGTGACCAGATGAGATTCTAAGAAAAAGTTTCCTGTGCCCCCAAATTCATAGGATTTAGAACCTAAAGTGACCTTACAGAACATCTAGTTACCCTATTCCCCACTTTCACCTGCTGTCCCACTTTACAAAGGAGAAAGCTGATGCCCCTAGAGGGAAATGGAGTCATCCAAGGTCACACTAATAGGGATTCAAATCCAGGTCAAGACCATCCAGGACTTTTTCTTCCCTTAAAGTCTTAATTTGTCTTCAATTGTCTTAAAGTGACAATTCTGTATTCTCTGTAAATGCTGTTTTTATTTTATTTCTCTTTAAGTGTTAGCAATGAATGAATGAAAAAAATCTTTTATTAGATGCTTATGATGTGCCAGTCACTGTGCTAAAAACCTTTTAAAAATCCACCCTCTGTCTAGTGGAGAAGATGGGTGAGGGGTGTCTACCTTTGGGCCAATAAATTTGAGAATACTAGAGTATACCACCTGGTGGCAATAGTAGGATAATAGACCCAGAAAGAGCTGTATTCCAGTAGGTTGGAGGGGTCTCTCAGTCAAGGTTGAATGTCGAGTAATACCTGTAAATAGAAAAGAGGAGATATCCCAAAGTGCTGCTAGTGGGATATGAGTCTTCTCTCTTGTCTGGGGTTGTATTTTCTTCCAGGAAGACCAGGGGAGAATAAGGCTTGGGGCCAGGAGCACCCTAAGGACCCTAGAGAAAGGGGCACCTGCTGCTGTTCTGAAAAAAGTTGACAGAACTGTGACCTGTCCTTCCAAAGACTGATAGAAAATTAAGCACTAACCAAGTCCCGATCTTTGAGACAGAGATTGGAGCTGCTTGTTTTAGGGTACAAGGAGTAGACAGGCATTGTCCTCTAACCCCACAGAGCTTAAAGTGATGTTATAGCAAAGAGATTTATGATCCATAGATCCATTGGCACTGAAGCCTGAGCTAGGACTTCCTTTGCTCTGCCTGGTCAGAATCCAAGACAAGGGTTCCCTTACCTCCCAAGATGTCCTCCCTCTCCACTGGGGAGAAGAGGGCAAGTTAGACCCTCACAGAGCACCTTTGGCCACAGGCAGTCAGAGAAGCACTAATCCATTCCTGGCTTGAAAGGAAGGTAGTGGCAGACAGATCAGGAAGGAATTTTAAGAGCTGGGTTTGTGGTCTGATGAGGTGGGCCTCAGGTCTGTCCACAGCTAGCTGGTGCTTTGGATAGAGCCCTGGGCCTGGAGTCAGGAAGACCTGAGTTCAGATATGGCCTCACTTAGTAGCTTTGTGACCTCAGGAGCAAGACAATTCACCTCTCAGTTTCTTCAACTGTAAAAATGGGGATCATAATAGCACCTACCTCACAGGGTTGTTGTGAGGATCAAATGAGATAATATTTATAAAGTGCATAGCAAGGTGCCTGGCACACAACAGGTGCTTAATAAATGCTTGTTCCCTTCCCTTCTCAGGGATGTGAGCAGAGCTTTTATCTTCCACCTCTTTAGATTAAGGGACCTGGGAAGAGAAGCTACCAATGGCAGCTAGCCCTGTTCAACATAATCATCCATTCTCTCCTTTGATCCTGCCTGAGCTTTACAATCTGCCCCAGTCTACTTTACCATCAGTCTCTTAGCCCAACTTGGAGCACAGCTTACTGGGTGTATCCCAATCCTAGACTTCTGTCTCCTGAAAGAAGCCAAAGATAGGAAAAGAAGTCCAGGCGTTCTATGTGCCTTGACTCTTAGAACCATAGGATATGAAGCTAAAAGGGGCCTTAGACGTCATGTAGTCCAATCTCCCTATTTTACTGATGAGTAAACTGAGGCCTAGAGAGGGAAAATGATTTTCCTAAAGTTATTCATTTCCTAAAAGACTCATAACACTGCTCAATTAGCAAAGCTGGAATTTGAACCCATGTCCCCTGACTCCACAGTCCCACCCATCCTCCTGAGAAGCCAGAAATTAGCTCTGGTCATCCAGGCAGCAAAAAGTCCCCAACACAATTTCCTGCCACAACATGGGGCCAACTCCATGGACTGATGTCTGATTTTATTTCATTTATTTTATTTTTATTACAAAAGGCCTTCATGTCATCTTCTGTATTAACAAAAACCAAAGTCCTTGCCTCTGGGTTTGAAAAGTGCTTTCCCAGAAGAAATGGGAAAGAATATGATATAAATATTTTTCCGAAAAAAAAAAAAAAAGTCCTTAATCTTCTTTCCAGTTTCTTTTGTTCCTTCGCTTCCTTGAGGCTGAGGCTGGAAAGTCAGCACCCTTGAGGAGTTATCTTCCCCATCTGGACCCTACTCACCTCCCAAAAGGTTTCCTTCATTTTTTGTACCCTCCCCTGCCCCTAAGACCTCTCAGGGGGAAGGGAGTTACCCCCTGAGAAGCTCACGCCTATGTTACCAGCACACAGGGGCCACCCATGGGCTCTTCCTACCCCAGGAGGCTTCCAGACGTGAGAGGGAGTACAGAGGAGGGCAAGGCTGTGTGGCTCCAGGAGATTGCACCTTGCTGGGGATGGGTGGGTGGGTGGGGGAGCTGGGATCAGAGAAGCCAAAGAGTTGGAAGTGATCTTGAAGATCATCAAGTCCAACCCCCTCATTTTACAGATGAGGAAACTGAGGCCCAGAGAGAGTGACTCTCCTAGAGTCACACAGTGGCAGAGCCAGGACTAACACCCAGGAGCTACTAACTCCCAGCCTGGGCCCTTCTCACTACCTGTGGCTGCCTGCCACGCTGACCTTAAAACCTTCATGGTTGGGGACAATAAAACAAAACTCTGGGTAGTTCAGCAAGGCTGCCAGAGAAGGCTGTTGGACCCTGGTGGCTCCCTTGACCCAGTCAGGATTCAGAAGTAGGAGGGCTTGGAAACAGGGGCTCTGTTGTTATTGCCAGCAGCATAGTGCATGAGTGGTACTTCGCACTCAGAGCCACCTGATGGCACCCCAACGCACTCTGGCAACTTGGGGCTTGTGTCCTCCAGTGGGGCCTTCACCCCCCCCAGTTCCATAGGTCCTGTCTCTGCACTCAGCTGGCCTCGCCCTTTGTCCTGGGCACTCCTTCGGCGTAGGCAGTACATTGCTCCTGCTGCGGCCAGCACCCCGAGGAGCAGGGCAGCCAGCGCAGGCACTATCATGAGTGGCAGGTTGCCTTCCTTGGTCTGTGTGACAGGAGCATGGTTGTAGCGAACAGATGGGGAAGTACGGGCCTCCCCACAGGCCTCCTCGCTGTCAGGTCCCCGTGCCCCACCCAGAGGCCCGATACAGATGGAATAGGTGGCATTGGGCCGAAGTTGTGTGACTGTATAATCAGAGAGTGTGGCAGGAAGGCTGAGGGTCACGGGCCTTTTGTCAGGGCCTGAGAGGTTTCTGTAGGTCAGGCGAATACCCTTGAGCTGGGCCTTGTTCTGGGTGTAATTCTTGAGCTTTACCCTCAAGGAGGTTGCGCTCACCTGCTCAATACTAAGCTGGGACACCCGAGTTGGCAATTTAGTGGGTGGTGGTGGTGGCAGGGTGGGCCGCTTGGTCTTCGCCTCACAATACAGACCCGAGAAACCCTCAGGGCACAAGCACTCAAGGTGATGCCAGGCATTGAGCTGGCAGGTGCCACCGTTGAGACAGGTATGTGCAGGGCAGTCCTTTAGCTGGGGGCCAGTGCTGCCAGTGGGGGCTGTGACAGAGAGCAGGCTGGGGCCGTCTCCACTAGACGGGGCCACAGTGGGAGCCTGGGTGCTGGGCTCTGCTGGGGGTAGGCTGGTAAGGGAGAGGGTTGGCCAGGGGGTGGAAGGCCGGGCAGTAGTGGCAGTGGTCGTGGTAGCAGGGCAGCCAAAGTCTGCATAGTCAAGGTGCTGGAGAAGCTTCCCTGCATTCTTGGGGGGGAAGTGGCACCTTGTCTCATCAGAACTCCATATCATCACCCGGCTTTCTCTGGCCCACTGCCCAAACCAGCTCAGCTGGCACACACAGTTGAAGGGATTCCGGGCAGCTGTGACCTCTCGGAGCCGGGGGAACCGGCTAAAGAAGTCCCGAGGGAGGCCCTGCAGGCTCAAGTTGCTGAGGTCCAGCACCTGCAGGTTTTCCAGACCTTCTAGGTCATCGGGCAGCAGTTGGGTGATGCGAGTATTCCCTGCAAGATTGAGGCGGGTGAGGCCTCGGAGCCCCCGAAGCACAGCAGGGGCCCCTTCCAGCTGGTTCTCAGAAATATCGAGCTCATGCAAGTTCCGTAGACCCAAGAACAGCTCTTCGTCCAACCGACTCAGCCCCAGCCCAGCCAGCTTTAACGATTCTATGTTGCTCATTCCAAAGGTGCCCGCCTCCAGGGCTGGGATGCGGTTGTGGCTGAGGTCCAGCAATAGCAGATGAGGCAGGTGCAGTGGGGGCAGCACCTGAAGCTGATTGTCTTCCAGCTTCAACTCTAGAAGGCTCTCAAGAGTGTCGAAGGCATCTGCCTGGATGTGATGGATGCGGTTGTGGGACAGGTAGAGGCGCTCAAGCAGGCGAAGGCCCCGGAAGGTCTCATTGGTGATCTCCTGCAGCTGATTGGAAGAGAGGTCCAAGTTGCTGAGGTTGGCTAGTGGCTGAAAGACTCCCCCACGGAGGGTAGTGATCTGGTTCTGTGACAGGTCAAGGAGCTGCAGGGCAGGGAGGCCGACAAAGCTTCCCAAGTCCAATGTGGTGATACCGTTCTCAAAGACATACAGGTCAGCTGTGTCTGGGGGCACATCAGTAGGGACCGTGGTGCCCTTCCGGGCAGTGCAAAATACAGTCTGTGGCTGGTTGCATTGGCAGCCTGCTGGGCATCCCTGCGCCTGTAGCCCTTGGCAAAGCAGTAGCAGCAGCAGTGGCAGCAGGATCTTCCTTAACCTGGCAGTCATGATTTGGCCCTGGGGTGGGAGACAGAGAACAAGAACTGGTAAGATTATCCCTCTCTTTTGGAGCAAGGTTCACCTGTCCTGTTCCATCCTAGACAAATAGGGATCAATCCTGACCTCAGAAATTGCAAATAACAGACAACCTACAGCCGCCATCAGTCATCTGTCATCCATTCTGGCGAGGCCTCACTTTTTTCTGTTCTCTGACCTAAATCTTTCCTTAACTTAGAAAGCAGGTTCCCTGAGGCTAAGGACTTGTGGAAGTAGCTAAGAAGGAAAACAGCTCCGAGCATACCTTTCAGGAACACCTAGTTTTGACCTCTCTTTTACACTTACACTCACACTCTCTCTCTCTCTCTAAGCCCAAAGAGAGACATTCCACAAACAGACTTCTTTATTCACTTTTATAGCAAAACTCCAGCAGAGAGAAGGCCTCTTTCTTTGAGGAGAGCCCCTTGTAATGTTGGGGTTCTCTCATATGAATTGATGCACACAGTTGCCACTGTGAATAGCCGACTTGAGCTTGGGAGACAAGGGGAAGGCCAAGGTGCTAGTCAGGGAAAAAAAATCTGAACATCAGCAGCTGCCTGTCCAATTTACTTCTTTCCTTTGCTCTCCTCCTTCCCCAAGAGCACGAGGAAAGACCGCAGCTGGGAAGACTTCACGTGGAAACTATTGGGATTGGTGTTTTTCCACTTGTTAAGTCAGCAACCTGCCCGGGATGGAAGCTATTGAAGCCACCAGTATGTGACTGCCAGGCCTTTCACCTAGAAGCCAGACTCGTTTATAGGGGTGGGGTTGGGAGAAGGAGAGCTGATTTCTCTTTCCCCTTCCTACTTTATATCCAAGTTTTTCCATACTTGGGGGTGACCGCATTGCTATTCAAAGAATGATGACAGGAAGAGGGCCCCAGCCAAAGGAGATTAGCTTTCCGAATGTCCCTTCTGTTCCTGCCTTTCCTCCACCCCACCACATCTTCCATTTCATCTCTGAGGTTGAATGTGGAATTGGAAGCAGGCGTAGTGTAGAATCTCCTGGGAAAAGCCTCATCCTTGTTGGCTCTGGGTCTCTGGGCTCTCAGAGACACTGAGATCATGAAGGTAGCTCCCTACACCTGGGACAGCCACATGGGACCACCTGAACCCCTTTTGGCCTCTTGTATATCCCCCACAAACTCCTGACTGTCTCCCTCTGTCGTCTCAAATTCAGAATAGGGTGCCTTACATAAGAACTCCTCTGTGGTTAGAGTTTTATCCCTCAGATTACATTGCATTTATTTATCTGTATATCTGGGTTATCTTCACAGTAGACCATAAGGTTCTTGAAGGCAGGGACTGTTCTGTTTTTGCCCTTGTACACAGTAAGCCAGCACTTTGGGATCCTACCTTGAGTTCCAGTCTTCCCTCCCTGACCCAGCACAGGTCACATCTCCTCCACAGCCCAACACAGTATCTCAGTGAGAAACACCAGAAGTAGGTGTGGTCCATGCTATGTGCCTGCAGCTCCAGCACAGTGGGTTGTGCAGAGCCGAGCCAGGGGCCAATCATGCCCTTGTCTCTGACCCTCTTGGGAACCTGGGCCTATAAGAGCGCCTAAGTTGTGGCCCCCTAGGCATCCTGAGCAGAGGATGTATCTTTATGAGAGGCCCAGGGTCAACAGCCACACTTTTTTGCTCTCCTCCTTCCAAAATTGTTACATAAATGTGAGGGCTGAGGCTAGTGTTGCCTTTGGGTGTGCCAGGGACCTTAGGGGCATAGGAGACAGCAGATTAAGCACTTTGCAAAGGGGAAGTCCTTGCCTGCACTGTCTGGGGAGCTCACTCCCACTGTGAGCTCTGAACACTCCCCTTTCTTCCTAGGTCACAGACAAGAGCCCTTTGTCCCAAAGCCTTAGCCCTGCTTCCCTGACCAGAGGGTCCGAGAGGTCCATATTAGGGGAAACAGCCCCAGATTCTGACTTTCTCTTCTGGGTCCTGAACAAATGTCCAGAATAACATAGAAGACTGCATGAAGTGGGGGACGGATGGTAAGTAGGGAGCTGGGACACACTGGCAGAGCTGTGACCACGAGGTTTAGGAACCAGGAACATCTTGATCTTAACTTCTTTTGGACATGTAGCTTGTCTTGGCCTCTCTGAAATGCAGTCGGTTTACCCATACCTGTCCTTGGACAAGTCAGACTGCCTGCGTCTCTGAAAAGAAAATAACTCATCAGATCTTCTACTTCCTTGTACCATGTCACCCCAAATCCAAGAAGTGACCTTAGAGATGCCTACTTAAATCAGGGACAACTGCATGGATGTTTTTCTCATCCATTAGCCCCTCTCTTCCATTGCCCATCTCTGTGCTATCTTGAATCCTCTGTGGGTCTCACTCCACATGCTTCTCTGCTCCTAAAATGTGGTACTTTATGAGAAGACTAACTAGGCGGCTAGGACTTCATGGTCCAGCCTCCAACTCTGATTCTCTGACCCAGGACATGGCATAGGCTCTATGGTCTTAAGTCCCACTACTCCTAAGTCTTGTCTGTAAAGTGCTCCCCACAGAGCCCCATCATGAGGCTAGAGTCCAGAGTTGCTTTAAGCCTCCTCTGCCACGGTGCCATCCAGTCTCCCCTTACCATCGTAGCCTCTTTACAAGTTGATGAGGGCTTTGAGGAGAGACCAGAATGGACCTAAAAGAATTAACAGGTTTGACCTACTATAGGGGAGAAACAGACAACTCAGCCAAGACTGCCCCATCTCTTCCCTTGCTTTTACCCTTTGTCAGCAGAAATGTCTGTGAGGGAGACTGGTCCCAGCTTGGTAACCTCTGTTCCCAGCATCTGTTCTGCCATTTGAGTTGCCAGGGAAGCGGGTCGGCCTTCTTGTCCAAACCAGCAAGGGCTCAGTCCTGTGCCTCCAGTGCTTGGGGCCCAGGCTTGGGGCAAAGGCAAATCATCATTAATCTAGAGCTGAATGCTGGCCTTCCCATCAGGCCTGGAGGGACCTGCCACTTAGGAACATTGGCACAGCTTTCCCTCCTGGCCCTCCTCCCACTTCAGGCTCTTGCTTTTATAACCATTGCAGCCCACGGATGCAAAAGGTCACTTCACCTGCTGGGGGGCCTTGGCTACTTCACCCCCATCCCCTCAGCCTTGCCTCCAAGTCTTTACTAACCTAAAGTAAATACCCTGGGCATGAGCAGTGTGACATGGCAGTAGTCCACCAGCCTGAAAGTCAAAAGACTCGAGTTGTAGTCTAGGTTTTGCTCCGATGTGTCTTAGAAAAGTCACTTCCCTTTGGATCAAAGATTCCTCATCCATAAATAGGATTACATAATTTTTAAAGCCATTTCTAAGTCTAATATTCTATGACTGGATGCCATGTGCCTTAGGGCTGGGCTATACTTGATTCTGGCTTCTTGCCCCATTCCAGTCTCCTGGCAGCTAATTGGGTCTGATGATCTACTCTGCCTCCCGCCCCTCCCCCCCATCTCTTCTTTCTCTACCCCTTCCTGGACTCATCTTTACTCCTCCCCTTGCCCCCAGCTCCCTCCACTGAGTCAGAAGATGCCTGGGTGTGGCCTGGGCTCCAGATGTCAGCAATGGTGGCTCCCCCGCTCTTGACTGCCTATCTTCTGCCCCTCTCAGATCCCTGGGTTGGAGCTCTGTGTGTCCTAACAGCAACACAACCAGAGCTTAGGAAGGAAATAGCCATTCTGTGGGTCTTGTCAAACACTCCCTTCTTTACTGCCCAAGTCTCAACTGTGATCTGCTCTTAGTGGCCCACACCTGGTCTGCAGAGGTAGAGGGTGGGGTAGGAAGTGCCTTTGTCTGGAGTGAGTTAGGGCCTCTCAACAGGAAAACCCAGGAGTTGATGATTTAGTTCAATTCATCTGTCTTTTAGCCCCTTTAATAAGCAAAATAATTAAAGGGGGAGCTGGGGATTTGTCCAGAGTGGGCATCTGGCTGACAGGTAATAAGCTTTGGAATGCGAGGCTGGAGGTGGTGGGGAAGGGAGACAGGAGGAGTGCAAGGGACTGAGCCAAGGAATATCCTGAGCAGAAAGGAGAAACTGAAGTCAGTTCTTTCCCAAGAGGCTGTTTTCTCTTCTTTGGTTGGAACTCCCCCATCAGCTTCTCAAAGGGTAATAGTAATAACTGATATTTATGTAGTGCTGTATAGCATACAATGCACCTTCCATACATTATCTCATTTGGTCTTCATAAACCTCTGACGTAAATAAGGCAAATATTACCCTCCCCACTTTCTAGATGAAGTTTCAGTAATGTATTCAAGGTTATACAGCTCTAAGTGTCAGAATCAGAAATTTGAACCCTAGTCTTCTAACTCCAAAGCCACTACCAGACTTCTAGAGTGGGATGAAAAGAAGAAGCTAGCTAGCCCTAGGGTTTTGAAAAATGATTACAAGGTTGGAGTGTGCAGGACTCTAGTTGAAAGCCATGTGAAACCCTACCTGGCCCTGGCTGCAACGGAGGAGCAGAATAGTAGGCAATCGGCTCAATTCCCCCGCTGGGTCCCCCAGGGCCCGTCTTGGGAGGACCAGCTGGGGTTAATTCCATGACTCTGCAGTCCCCACCTAGGGACTCCTGTTATTGCCTGCCTGCTGCTAACTAATTATAATTGACAGTTATATAGGTCTTAAAGAATAAAGGGTTCTTTACATACAAAATTCATTTGATCTTGAAACGGGGATATTCTTTTCCCCATTTTATGGATGAGAGGAACTAAGATTCAGGTTGCATTTGTTAAAATTGACACAGCCAGGGATTCATAGAATTAGGGCTTGAACTTGAGTCTCCGTCATCTTTGCAGCATACCAGAATACCTCGCTAAGACATTAACTCTTCTACCTTACACTAAAAAACAAGCAAAATGCATCACTACCAAGCCTGCCCAAGCTCAGGGCTCCCTCCTAGGTTCTCCTGACACTTGTGAGAGCGTCTTCTCATTGATAGCAAGCAGGAGGTAGAGAGGTAGATGAGGTGTGTCTGTACGGCTAGGTCATGGGGA